CCGCCCCGCCCCGCCCCGGGACCAGGCTGCCAGTCCCGCCCCGCCCCGCCCCGCCCCCGGCGTACAGTCCCGGTGTCCCCGCGGCCGGGTCCGGGTCCGGGTCCACGCCCGAGCCCGGGCTCCTGCGCGGTTTGACGTTACAACCGTGCCTCAGCCCCCAGGCGGCAGCTGCGTCCTGCTGGGGAGCAGGGGAGGGCAGGGCCCTGGGCCACGGAGTTGGGATTGTAGGCCCAGGTCCCCCAACCTCCACTGTGCAGTGCCAGCCACCCCCTGTACACCTTAACTGTTGTAGAAACAGCCAATACTGAGGTAACTAGATATTTAAAAAGAAAAGAATGACAACACTGGGTTACTCATAGCCTAGGGTACACCTTCCCCCCACCTTGCCTGTTGTGCACTGTAGCCTTGTCACAACCCCTACTGTTACAGAACTGCTTTAGGCTGCTGCCTGCTCATCCAACTTTCTCTTTTGTACAGGAGTTAACATAACAGTGACTCTTCCCAATATCTCTACCATATTCATAACCAAACAGGGAAAATAGTATGCTTTACCCGCAAAAGAAAGAAAAAGTTTATTTTGTTAGTGTGTTGCTGGAAGTCTGTTGAAATTGTGCAAATATGCAAGTCCCTCTTGAAAAAGAATCAGCAGCTATTAATCAAGTATTCACTCAAGTAACTTAAACTTCTTTAGTGGAGAAGTAGTTTTAAGTGTCTGGTGTCAATCCTGGAGGTCAGTTCTGTCAGGCACAGAGGGTTCTCTACAAAACACCCAACTGTTAGACCACCAGCCAGAGTCCAAGACGGAGATGCACAGTTTAGCAGGACAGCAGTCTTCACCTGACCAGATGACTCAAAGTATCAAAATCTTTCAGTGTCATAATAGTATTGTAGGTTTCTTCCATGACTCAGATACAGCTTATTCAGCTAAGGGAAAGGCCTCTACACAATATACCTGTTGTCCAACAGTTTCAGCACAGCTAGAAGTGCCAACCCATTTAATCACAGGAAGAAGGCCCTCTTTATCCTTCTTCCAAATGATTAGACCTCAGCAAGTCAGAGCCATTAAACCACAGTTTTCAGATGTTCTAGTTCCTGGAGGCTTCTTCTATCCTTGCTAAAGTTACTGAACAACTTTAAACATTTGAAATAGTTCTCGCACTGTATACAGAGCCCTTCTGCTGCCAAAGGGCCTAGAGTTCATTTTGTTCAGCAGCCATGGATGGTGGTCCGAAGTAGAAGAAAGGGAAGCAAAAGATTCGGTGGTACTGAATGGGTGCTGTTCAGAGTTCAGGATCAGTTTCACTTGCATCACATACAACACAACAGATAGCAGTGTGTCCTTGGACAGGGAAGTTGCTGTGTTAGCTATGCAGGTTATGGAGTGTAGGAGAGAAAACAGCATACTTCCTGCATTACAATTGCCTATTCAGACTTTATGGCTACTCTGTATTAGGCGACACTGCAATGAGAAGCAGAATTGTATGACTAACCGCCACAGCTCAAGGCCTGGGAAAAGGGATGCATTTTAAGTGAACTGGCAATAGTTGCTTCTGTGACCCTGAAAGATGCTGCTACACAACCATATGTATGCACAGTGTCATCCCCTCCAGTTCATTAAACAGGGATTAGAAGTTGTTCTGAACCAAGTTCAACCACATAGAAGCATTCACAGCTAACCCAAATAGTCACCTCAGTTTTGTCTGACAAGAAATAACAAACAGTACATCTCAGTTTCCCACTGAATTCAAGAACCTCAGGTGTAAGATCTTTGGAAATAAGCCTCAATTTGTTCTAATGTCTTTCCTTTCGTTTCAGGAACACAAAGAACAGTAAACATTACATTTAGGATGCAGAAGGCAGAGAAAAGCCAGAACGTGCCATAGGAAGTCAGGACATCCTGAAAGAAAATAGAAGTATCATTAAAAAAAAGTTTAAAGCTATATTATCTGTAATGCTGCATGTCCAGGGAAAGTGTAACCGAATGCTTCACCAACTGCATCTATCAGCTTTACCTACAAAAATTCCAAGCTGGGGTCATAGGATGCTTACCATAAGATCATTAAATTCCTTTGTTACCAAGAATGCCATCAGCCAGTTTGTTAGAACACAGGCACCACTGGAAAAGCCTCTAGCTTTAAGTGGGAATATTTCAGACATCACCAGCCATGGAATGGGACCCCAACCAATGGCAAAACCTGAAATTGAAGAAGAAAAAAGTGAAATGATACTATACTTGAATAGGAATACCATGAAAAAGCAAGCATCAAAGCCTTCCAAGTGAGGCATTTACTTTTCCCCTCCTCTAGGTAGCTTTGATTCTGCAACACCTCTAGAGAGAACATTCTGAAAGGCAATTATACATGCCACACTAACAAAACCTCCATACTGAGCATGGATAACTGCTTTTCTTGGTATCTCTAAAGCAGGGGTGGGCAATTATTTGGGCCTGCAGGCTACATAGGGAGTTGTGGTGAGCTGTTGCACACACTCTCAGCTCATCAAAACTCCCTAAGTGGTTCTGCTCCATGCACAGCTGGGGTGGGGAGCAGCGGTAAAGCAGGCACAGAAAGCTAAAACACAGACAAGGCTGGGAAAGAGACATTCCCAGAAGTAGCCAACAGACTAAACATTTGCATAAAAAAAGCTAGCTTAATTAGTGCAAGAACAATACCATTACAAAAAGTTAAGCAGGTTGGTAACTTCTGCAGGGTGAAGAGACATTAAAAAAAACAGGAAGTCAAGTAGATTGCAATGAGCCATGAAATAAGTGTCTATGTTCAGTTCTTGGTTCTTAGTGTCCGGCCAGCATATTTCTATTAATTTCTATTCTATAATTTCTATTCGCAAGCTCACCTTTCGAAGGTGTTTTGTAAGTTCCCCTTGAGCGCAAGTCAGAGTGAGTGGTTCTGTGAAAACCTCTCTCCTGCATGTCTTTCACAGAACCACTCACTGACTTGCGCTCAAGGGGAACTTACAAAAACACCTTCAAAAAAGGTGAGCTTGGGAACAGAAATTCATATATCTGTTCTTTCAGATTAGTAAGGGGGTTCAGAATTCCTGAGAAACAACTGCATGAGCAAAACCACTACAATGCTGGTGTTCTTGCTCATGCAGTTGCTTCTCAGGAATTCCGAGCCCTGTTACTAATCTGTCACAGTACGTTACTGAGCTTCTTTAACAAGGGCCCAAGCCTTTAAATATCAGCTAAAAGATCAAATGTTGTTTGTAATAACAAGAATAATTTGGTTTAAAAGGAGGAACATATAGACCAAAGGAACAAGGCCTTGGAGTACAAGTCAAAGAGGTTCTGAGCTTCTACAACTTTTGACTCAATTGATAAGAGGCTGCAGACACCTAGTGCAACTCTGGACCACACAAAACTTCCTCTGTATGCAACACTTCAGTGTGCAGTGCTACAATACTGATGACAGTGTTTCTGTGCAAATCTTCTGTACAATGACAGTCAACTCACCAGTGATGAAGAGCCCCAGGCTCACTACCGCCAGCCAGGTTAGGTCATGCTCTGCTACTGAGGATATGCAATTTGGAGTGGTCAGGAAGTCAGGATGTGACGAGTTGTTTTGATTTGGAAGGATCATTTTAAAGTAAAATCCAAATGCTGCAGTGCTGATAGCCATGACAATCCCTGCAACAATAAAAGGAGAGCACATGCTGATTTATTGCCACTTAAAGATTTGAATCAGATAGTCCAGAACTAGTTAAGTTTGATATTAAACAATCTCAGTGCTCTTTTTGAGTGTTATGCCTACAGTGTTTATGTAAGAGCATCATTAGAAACTACTTAAGGAATTTTTTTTTTTTTAAAAACAAAACAAAACAAAACGAAAACAAACTAAGTCTGGTTTGGCATATACAGATGGATTGGCCAGCTGCAGCAGGGATTTTCTTCTCTCTTAGCCCAGGGGTCAGCGTTTTGGTAGCACGCCAAAAATACCCGCAACCTTGACTTACAAGTTGTTGGTGTGCCAATGGTGGATGGTGTGGGAGCCACAAGGGGTCTGATCCTTGTGGCAACACAGCCCTGGGCCCTTCCCCACTGTCTGCCCCAAGGTGCACATGCACCTGCGCCCACCACCAGCAATGAGCTAGGCTCTGCAGACCCCGATGCAGCCACTTGCAGCCTCCTGGGGCACCCGTTGCCTGTCACAGAGCCCAGACCGCTCATAACAGGAGGCTGCAAGCAACTGCACTGGGGTCCACAGAGCCCTGGTCCAGCTTGCTGCCAGTAGTAGGTGCAGATGGCAGGAAAGGGGCTGGGGCTACACTGTTACAACAAGGATCAGGGCCTTCACAGCTCCTCCTGCCCCCCCCCTAAACACACGTGTCGAACAAAATGCCTTCATGTGCCACTCTGACACTTGTGCCAGGGGTTGCCTGCCCCCGTCCTAGCTTTTTACTTAAAAGGCTTGTATTAAAGAGCCCTCAGTACCCTGTTTGGATTTTTTAATTTTCCTAGGAGCTGGTATCATGGCATCAGCAGTTCCACAGAGGAAGTTAAAAGTAGCAAAACTAAGAGCCCAAAATTAAGACAAAAAAAAAAACCATGTGTGACAGTAGAAGAGTCTGGAACAGACTGATTGGATCGGATCGGATCAGGGGCAGGCAATTATTTTGGGCAGAGGGCCACTTACTGAGTTTGGCAAGTCATCGAGGTCCACACGACAGGCAGCCAGGGGCAGATTAATATTACTTTTCTAAATGTTTTAGGGGCCCCATGGGCTGGATAGAATGACCTGGTGGGCTGCATCCAGCCCCCCAGGCTGCAATTTGCCCACCCCTGGATTGGATCCTTTGTAACATTCCTCCAAGGATACAATGTTATAATACCTTTGGAGCAGGGCATGCAACAATGTATAAAAAGAGTTTCCCTGGCCTTCCACAAGGATTCAAGCCAGCCATTTCTAGGTGAACAAGCACACACCCCAGCTTGTATTTTTACCTGATACACAAAGTAGTACTTTCCGTCCCGTTTTATCTATGATAAGTGCAGCCACAGCTGTAAAACACACTTGTATTGAACCCACAACAACTGAAGCCATCCTGCTGTCCTGAAAGAGGGAAAACATTTTTAGAAGCAATTTCTTGGTTTTCAGCAAGTGATTATAAATTTTCTTCATGCACTTTTGTATTGTTGACATTGTTTTACCACTCCTATAGCTTGTATACAATATGCTGTGTAGAAGGATCTCAGTGATTTTCAAACATTATTGACTATGGGGTACTATGCATAGAATAGTATATTGAACTATTCTGTTTTGCTCGTCATTGCCTTTATGGAATACAACTAAAACTCCTTAACTTTACAAGACCCATCTGTAGCTCAAGTGACAGGGGCCAGTGCCTTCAAGCAGGACATAAAATTACCACCCAATAGCTAGGAATCTAAATGGCTATACTGTGCAACTACCTAGGGTGCAACAGATACATAACGTGAGTTATATAGCTTTACTGAAGTCAAGCACCTAACCAAAAAAAACAAAAAAAAACAACAAAAAAAAATTAAAAATAATTCCTCCGTTTCCACTCCCTGCTCAGACCAAACATGCAGCCTCAAAATCTTCCTGCTTGAATTAAAAGAATAAAAAACTAAAAAAAGAAGAAAAAAAAAAGTGTGTTGCTAGCAACTATTCTTACAAGCTTCTGCCACAACCAAGACTTAAATATCTGAAGGAGAATCAAGAAATAAGAGAAACTGAGCTAGTGAAACAAACAACAAAATACCCCACACAGAGAAAGCAATAGTTCAAGTCTAAAATGCAGGGCATTCTTTTGCATGGGAACTAGAAACAGAGCAGGAATACATGGAGAGTGAGGTATGAAGGAAGACAAAAAAGAATAAATTACAAAAAAAATAAAATCAAGAGATGGTAATTATGCTCCCTGACCGACTTCTCCCAATGCAAACAAAACTGAATCCCTTGTCAAGGTTACTATGCATACCTACAGGTTTCACAAAATGGCTTCTGACAGCTTGTACTTTACTCTACTTCCAGGAAACAGAGGCAAAGTTTAAGACCAAACAGCCTAAAATATACTTCTTCACTACCAACCCCCCCCCCGCAAAACTTAAATAGTAAGATAAACCAAAGTAATACTTGCATGCAAAAACAAGAAATGTATTGGAGCAGAGACCCAACACTCATGATCCAGCTGCAAATTAAAATTTGGCCTGGTTAGGTGCTCTGAACCAAGAGTTTGGGGGGATTGGTTGTAGCTGTATTGGTCTAACGATGTAGGCAGACAAGATTCTTTGGGCAAATGTGATTTTGATTTTTTTTGTAGGTTAACTACATAGTTGGAAAAGAAAGTTGTTCTTTGCAAGCTTTTGGGCACAAGTCAGTAGACTCCCTGGGCCTGAAGGAGGGTGTCTGTGCCCAAAAGTTTGCAAAGAACAGTTTTTTCCAACTATTTAGTGGATTAAAAATATAAAAATAAAATATTACTACTACTACTACTACATAATAGTAAAAAAATATCACATTTACCTAAAGAACTGTGTCTGCCTGACCCAAGAGTATCATGATCAAAGCTGTACCTGACATTATACTTGGCAATTACCTTTGGGAAGAAAAAGAAAAATGAAAAATGCACCATGCTTACCTTAAAGCTAGCTTCTTCAAAGATCATTTCTGCATAAAACATAACTGCATTAATCCCTGTTGCTTGCTGGAAAAACATCAGTGCCACACCAATAAAGAATGGCTTGTAGATTGATGGACTCTTAAATTCTGCTAGACTTAGTCCATGCTAAAAAAAAAAAAAAGAGGAAGTAAGACTGATTCAGTGAGAAATTGGTCAGTTTCAATAAGTGAAAGAGGAAAAGCTACCACCTAGCTTTAGAGACAAGACTGCAAACCCTGCAAGTCTCCCATTTAAGAAATCTGTTAAATTCCTTGGTAGTATGAACATCTGCCATCTTTGAAATAGCTTCAGATGCTGTAATCAAATACTGTGGATTTCTTCTACCTTTCTGTTGTATTTCCTAGGTGCAGTAATTGAACCACAGCATCAGAACACCAGGGGAACAGCACTGAGGCTACAGAAGACTTCAGATTTCTTCCCCCCCCTGCCTCCCAATTTGGCCTCTCTGGCTCCTCCATACTCCACCTGTCCTTCACAACACAACCCATACAGACCTTTTATAGCAATTTTCTGCAATGGAGGTCCTGATATTTGCTTAAGAGCAAACTCTACAGGCCTGTTCAGCAGCCTACTCAAACTCTACACCAAAGCCCAAACTATTCTCCTTTACAGGGATGTAGAGGAGCCTTTTCATTTCCTCTTGGCTCTTTCTGCATTGTGTAGAGATCTAGACTGTCAATATGTAAGTAAGAGACTGAAAAGAAACTACATATTATTGAAGATATAACTGGAGCCTGATCCAGCACTTCCAATGACTGCAGTGAGAGTTCTGGCTCCTGAAAATATGGGTTCAGACCACAGGAAGTAGAGAAACAGTCTCCAATACCCCTTGCCTTTTTAAAGTCGATTTAATTGGGGCAGGGGGGAGGAAAGAGGTCAGATGTAAGTTAAGTAAAAGGTCAAATAAGTCCAGTCCTGATAAGGTTTGTCTGAACATAGAGTGTCTAATCATCTATTTACATTCAAGTTTCTTCTTTACTCAGCCAATCTTTTAAATAAAAGCCAAAACTTAAACAAAAAAAACAACAAAACCTCTTATCACCTGCTCCTCCGCACTAGTTTCAATTTGCCTGCGTTCCCATTCATGGTCCACATGTGGTCCCCGTAGGAATTTTAAAGCAGCTATGGCTTCTGGGTGTTTGTTTTGATTCAGCAGGTACCGAGGCGTTTCAGGCATGAAGGACATGAATATGACCATTAAGCAGGGTGGGAAAGAACAAAGCACAGCCAACCAGCGCCATTCAAGTGCTATTCCTGGGGAGGAAGGGGAAGGAAAGAAGTTATAAGCACAACTATCAGCCAGTTCTCTCCTTGTGTTGAGCCAGCACTACTAATAAGACAGAGCATGCACTTCCTCCCTTCCCCCCCCCACCCCCGCAGCTCACATGCCTGTGCTCTTCTTGATTTCTAGGAAAGTTTCACTAACCCTGTCCACCCAACAAGTAACCAAGTCTAGTACCTGCAACATAAGCTCCCAGTATGCCAGTTACCACCATCAGTTGAACACATGAGCCAAGTGTTCCTCTAACTTTTGAATGTGATATTTCTGATATATAAACCTAAGTGTGGAAGCAGAAAAGATTCAGTTGCATCTTTCCATTTAGTATTAAACAGTATTTAATTCAGCTGCTGGGAGGAAAGACTGAAAAAAAAAAAAGCCACAGCTATTAGCCTACTAGGAACTGCAAAGAATAGCTCAAGTGGAATGACCAGAGCAACTAAAGCTAGCAAGGTCACTTTGAGGGAATCACAGTGCCCCCCAAAATACTGAAAGCTATTAAACACCACAAGTAGAACATGAAGTGGCATATTTTCCTTTAAAAAAAATGGCTAAAGCTTGCATAAGACAGTAACTGTTAACTTCCCCAAGATGAAAATTAATATCTTCAATTTTGCAAGCAGACACTGGTTGAAACCCCACTGACTTCATACAGGGTTCTGGACGAGCATGAAGATTTACATGTACACACATCTTTGCAGATTAGGTTTAAGACTGTAGTATTTTTACCTCGAAGAAACCCATGCCTCCCAAGGCCTTTCAAACTCCAAAAATAGGATGTTCATTGGCCCCAGCCCAGCACACGTTACACAGGTAGGTCATACCTTGCATAACCCCTGCCCCACACACATTTAAGAGCACCTTATACGGATCCAAAGTTATGGAAAGTGCCTTTAACCTGAGCCAGGAAAGCCAAGTCGAATTCCATCTTTAAGGCCATAATTCCTCACCTTTATGCATGAAGAATGTCTGACCTTCCCCCCAAAAAGTTATAGCTCTTATACTCCAGACAGAAGTTTTGCAACTCAGTCTTACCTCGGAAAGAAGTAATTTTCACAAATTCTTAACATTGGGCATTAGACTTTTCACATTGGCCATTTTGGTCACAGAACAGATCCTGCTATATTTGTGAGGGGAAAGTTACGTAACAAGTTTAAAGAAAGTCTCTTTGATGAAGACATGAGTGTTCTTTCAACAAGTTCTGTGAAAATTTCTCTTTCAAGGCCCCTGCAGCCTTCTGATCTCAGTGGGACCAAGCCCACAGGCTATCCTTAATTGATAACAGTCCAGCAACTTTACACACAGAAGTTAAAGTATCCTTCTGTTTTTAAGCCTATAATAAATGATGGGCCCTTTTATATGTCAAGTGAGTGTAAACTAAAGGTACAAGTGTTGGCAGTGATGCAAAACAGCAATAAGCAAAACAGTTAATCCCCCAATCTGTGTCAAAGACTACGTTACCCCAGAATCGCTCACCAAGGAGTACAAGAAAGGAGGGGAAGGGTCCTAAGCACAGAAGTATGAAAGGGTGAGAAGCAGCAGCAGCTAGTGTGTGCACAAAAGAAGTTGAAGTCAGGCACTAACAGTAAACTTGGATACAGTTGCACTACACCTTACACTGCTCCAAGTGACAAAGCACCCACCACCTAGTAGTGAATGAGAACTTAAGAAGTTAAAAAGTATCATGAATAAAATGTAATATATAATCAAACTTTAATAGATACTATTTATCTTCAGATACTTAGAAGCAGACAGTAAGTGATTGCTAAGAGGGTTCTTCATGTAAAAAAACCAACAAAACCCCAAAAAAACAAAACCAAAAACAAAAAACTCTAAAAGGATAAAACAAGGAAATTCCTTAGACATAAGATAAGCTAAAGGCAAGTTCAGAGTTGGAAGAAATTCAGGTTAGATCAAAGAGAAAAGAAGTCTTGATGTGTTCTAATACAAAAGGTGGATTAGGAAACAAGCCCAGACAGCAAGAGAATGCATTTCTAGGAGTCACTTTAAAATCTAGAAGGGCATTTGGGTGCACGGGCACTAAAAAAAAAAAAAAAACACTGTTCACTTACTGGAACAACAAGTGAAGTAACTCCACTGGCTAAGCCAGTCAGTATTCGTCCGCAGTAAAGCATCCAGACATTGTGGGCAGAGATGATCATCATAAACCCAAAGATGTACGGTACCGAGCACAGCATCAGACTCAGCTTTCGCCCAAGCTTATCCACAGCGTAGCCTCCTAGCACTCCTCCAGCAGCAGCTCCTAAGGTTACTACCGACTGGGAACAGAAGTCACACATGGGCATGAACGGCGCGTGTCCCCAGCCCTTGGGGGGGGGTGGGGGCCAAGCTAGGAGCTCCTGCAGATGCT